GAAGTTGCTCACCTTATGCCACTGTGAGTTATGTACTGTTTAAACATCAGAATCATTTCCTGTCTTACTCTATAAGAGGTTCTTAGTCATTAAGTCTTGTCAACAACTCTGGCCTCTAAGGGCTTGTTTTCTTCCTGTTAGTGACAAAGCAATGCTGTATTCTCATACCCATACAGAGAGATATGAAAGAAAACCAGCTGATTATTATGCTGGACATTGTGTTTCACTAGCTGCATGAAAGACATTGCTTTAATATGAATCTATGTTGCACCTAAAGGGTGTGACACTAACAAACCATACTCAGACACTTAGTTTTGGGAAAACTTTGGGAGTTTTTTTATCTGGAAAAGCTGACTTGCCCATTGGTAAATGCTAGTACAAGTGAAAACAGGTCAATGGCTTTGCATTCTGCCATTTCGTCAGTTATGCTGTCCCCGATAATCTCTAAATGGTTTGACATATCTTAAGGATAATTTGTTTCTCTGAACTTTAGAAGATGATACTGGAGCAAATTCTTAGCTAGTGTAAATCAGTGTAGGCCTACTGACATAAATGGAGCAATGCTGATTGACAGTAGCTAAGGTCCATCCATGCTTTAGTGAGCAGTTTACAAAAGAGATTTTGAATCAAAGCATGCAGTTTTGACTTTAAACCCCTCCAGAAATTCTGTAGATGCTTTGGAGCTCTTTTAGGTCTCCCTCCTAAATGTGTATGTTTTGTGCAGTGTGTGTAGACTATATTATATTCTTTAAAAGCTCTTCCTATTTAAAAGGAATGTACTTCTCTTGGAAAGTACCAGCCTGATAGCCCTAGGGAGGAAAGTCATCTACTGAAGAGTATGATTAACTGCCTTGTGCCATTGGAGCTGTTTTGTTTTGATGAATGATTTCTGGAAAGCTAATTGGTGGTATCCATCCAACTTCAAGTCAATAGGTGTCTGCTGCACAAAAACCACCAATACAGTTAGTATTCCTACTGGTAGTTTCAGCAGAGAAGGCAAGAACTCAGGGCGCAGACAGAAGTGACAATTTTTGCACAATCTGGCCACAGAAAATGGTCTATAACCATGACCAAACACGAGTGCACTGCTGCAGACCGTTTAAAATGGCCAGTCAGGTGAAAATCTGAACCCTCATTGCATGAGGGGTCAGATGAAGATGTTTCAAAACAGAGCATCTTCTGTAACTTTTATCTGCTCTGACTACCAGCCTCAAGCTGTTTTCAGAATGGGTGGGGGGAAAGGGAGTGGAGGGAGTTCAGTCTGGGGGTTTCTCAGCCCCTGCTGGAGGGTGGGGTGGGTGTATTGGAGTCTCCCAACCTTAGGGGGGAATCCAATACACCCACACCACCCTCCAGCACCAGCCTGGGTGCTGGCAAGGGGCATGGGGCCAGTCCCAATGTGCACGGGGCCAGAACTCTGCTGGCTACAGGGGCAGTTGCTGGTGAGCCTCCTGCTGGGGTGGGGGGGTAGGGGGGCACAGGGCTTGCCAGCAACTCCCCTGTTTAGCCCAGTGTGGGCTGCTCTGGAAACTGGGTGCAGACAGGGAACCCAGCCCCTACCCACCCCAGAGCAGCTCCACATACCTCCCAAGTCAGTCCACACACAGCGTTAATGCTTTTTAACACCTGCACGTGTAGATGCTGGCCTATTCCCACTCACTGCAAAGTAAACTTAAGCCAGTGTAAATATACGTGTAGACACTCCCACTGTGCAGCAAATATTGCACTGATAATCTAGTACCTGTATTTACAGGTACTAGCTAACTGTGCAGTAGTCGAATTTACTGTGCAGTAAATATCCTGCACATGTAGACAGTGATGCTTTACTGAGTAATAGATTAATCTACTGTGCAGTAAAGCGTCTCATGTAGATGCATCTAGTTGGTAACTACATGATAAAACTTCTCTGAGAACTGACTTTGGAGTAGTGAAGTGCTTGGTTCAGCTGAACCTGGCAGGCCACAGCATTATTGTTTTTAAAAATGAAAATGTTTCACTGCCACCAATCACTTATTCACATGTGCTCTTAGCACTGATCTTGCCCAATAAAGATATGCATTCTTCCTTTGCCATTGCAAAGTGACAATACACAGAATGTAAGCTAAGCTTCCAAAATAACATTCCTCATTGCTCATCCCTCATTGCTTATCCAGCTGGACTCCCCTTAATATTAACATGTGATTATATGTCATCTTATAGCAATGGATAATTGTTATGATTGAGGGAATCTACCTATGGGCATCTTGTGAATTCCTGTTGTGACCTTTCTGTATCCTTAGATCCATAAGCTTCCTAGGCCTGATGGCTCTCTTTTACAGTGTTCTTATTATGCACTCCTTGTGCTAATGGATAGAGAAATTGCACCTGGTCACAAGTAGCACAAAGGTCCATGCGAAATAATTTATACTGCTGAAAAGGATGGATGTCTTCTGTGTGTGGTATGATATAACTGTCATCAGCCCCTGAAGAGTTACTCCATCAGTGGAGTATATGAATACATAGCAGTGGAACAGAGATCAAAATCAATCCTTCTCTGTGTAAAATACTCAGTGTAAAAAATTCAGCTGGGGTTCCAGGCCAGATCGAGACCACAGGGCTCCTTGTAGACTGGATCCAGTCCAGGGCGTGGTGGTTGTTGCAGTGGTTATTGCAGCAGTGGTACTGGTGACAAGTCTAGGGGAGTGAGTTCAGGGGCAGCAAGCCATGCTTGCCACTGATGGCCATGCCCAGCATGGCCAAAGGTCCCTGATTCTGCAGCAGAGCAAGTTCCCCAACTTCTGGTGCTCACCAGTAGTCCTGCAGCCCATGAGCCATATCTTTGACACCCATGGCATCAAAGAATGAGATTGCTTTGCATGGGAACTAAAGCATTTTTTAGTATTTGCCAGTGGAAAACTATTCATTACTTTTCACAATATTCAGAGCTACTTGTTACCTGTTTTGAGTGGATGAGATGATAGCTGTTTTTGGTACAAAAACTTTCAGGTGAGAGAACAGAATCAGTCTAAAGCTTACTGAAAAAAACCCAGCTTGCATCAGCCAAGCAAGAAAAGATAAATAGCAGCAGCCTAGGCAAAAAGCACAAGTAGGATGTGCTAACAATGAGCAACACTTCAAAAAAATTCCAGCAGCTTTCTCAGTCAAATATTAAAATGGAGTAAGTCATGATGTAGCTGAAAGTGATTACTGAATTAACTTATTCAAAAAACTTGTAGAAGAACTGGTCCTCTCCTTTTTTTCCCCTTTTAGTCAAAGAATAATAGCACTGGTTAGAATATTTTACATTTCAAAATTTCAGTTACATAAAAAAAATTTAAAAATTAGAGTTTAGAGTTGGCTAAACTTTTCAATTTTTAATTGCAAGCGCACACAAAAATAATTTTATATGGGTGTAGAATTTTCCACATAAGTGGTAAACTGTTTTTTTTCTCCGATTATCTTTTACAAGCATTGTGAGATGGTATTGAATAAGGAGATTCCCCAGATGTGTAGAATTAATCTGCTGTTTTGTCAGAGTAGGAAAGGTATATGTAGTATCCAGAGAGTCAGTCTTCATATGGATTGTGGAGTTTTTTGAAAGCTCAGCAAAATGGACAACTACATGCTACAGTTGAAAAATAGTCTCTGCTTTCTGTGGTTCTAGGTGTGTGGACAGAAGACACTAGAACTAGTTAATAGGGCATATAGGCTCTTCTTGTATTAGAGCTATTTTTGTTGTTGGCCACATCTACCTTGAGATGTGGCAAATGCCATCTCTATTTTGCATTGATATCAGTGAGAGGTTGGACTGCTTAGCACCACTGAAAATGTGTCAGCTGATTTATTTTGCAACTAAGACCACAGTTTCAACAAAGGAGCAGGTCACTGAATGAATAGATCACTTATTTAAGTGCCTGAGTATGGACTTCAAAGCACTGAAGTTTGAACTTTTTTTGACCCAACAATTCAAAGGTCCCTGCAATAAAATAAGAATGTAATTTGGTAATAAAATATATTATTTTAATTTTCCTTGTATTTAAAGTGGTGCACAGAAACTAGGTGCTCAAATCAGCTTATTTCTGGGAACTAGAAATCAGGTCTAACTCTTTTTTTTAATATATCTCTGACAGTTGGGTCTGAGTCAAGTTTCAAAGGCATTTCTTCAAAGCAAGTGGCACTCTTAATGCTTGGGCTCTTGCAAAACAGCAGCCCAGTAACTGAGAGAGAAGATAACAGTATTAGCAGTCTGCAGTAGGGGGAGAATTACATGGGGACCTCTTCTCAGGATCTTCACTTAAAAGCCTCAGATGAGTCTTCAGCATATAAGCAGCAGCTGCCCTTTACTTCCAAGTACTTATGCCTTTCCTTAGCCATGATCTTTCACATTAGTCACCTCACACTTGATGCAGCTGAGGAGAGGGTGAGGTAAAGGTTGTTTTAGGTCATCTCTAGTCTGTCTGTCCTGGAGATCCCTTTCCAACTTAGAAAATCTAAAGTTACATCATTGCAGTAATACTCTATGGGCGCATCTACATGTGATGCTTTAAAATGTGCATTACCCTAAGCATCTACATGTGCGTGTCCTTAACACGCATTAGAATGGTGAATAGTTAAAGTGCATTAACACGCATGTAGGCACATTAAAGTGCATTAATGCTGTGTGTGTGGACTGACTAGGGACTAACTTTAGTCCCAAGTCAGTCCACACACACAGCGTTAATGCGCTTTAATTCCTGCAGCTGTAGACACCTGCCTAAACCCACTTAATGTGCATTAAGCTAATGCACGTTAAATTTAGGTGTGCTTAAATGCACATGTAGCCATGCCCTATGAGTCATGCTGGACAAAGACTAGCTGGAGTGCTGTATTCTGGTGCCTCACAACTGTGCCCCTGCAATTCTAACCCTAATAAAGAGAGTACTATAATCCACCCTCACTCCACTAAACTGTAGAGCCCTTCCTACCTCTGCACTACACCTAGCTTGGGGAGCCCTACTGGCTGCAACCATAAACACAGCCCCAAACCTTGCCTGTTCTTTAACCTTGCCCTAACCTTAATCTAGTTCAGGCTGTTCCAGTAGCCCCAATCACCCCTAAAATTTTTTTTGAAATACTGACATTTGTCAAAACAAAAAAATCCATAATTAATACAGAAATTAAATTAAGGCTGCAGGAGGAGAAAAATATTTTATGCCCATAATGATGCGAACAGTGAGACCCTGGAATAATGGCATGTCTATTAACTGCTTATATCAGGGCTTTTCAACCCTGAACTCGTGGGCCAGTGCTGTGCCATCAGGCCTGTGGGGTTCTTCACGGATCTGTGGAGATCCTTGTTGGCTGTGGCCCTTCATGCTAAACTGGGCACACAGGGCCCAAGCCTGGCACATGGGAGCTGGGCAGGAGAGGTGTGGGGACCCTGGAGCCAGATCCCAAGTGGGTAGGAGAGGCACAAGGCCCCTAGAGTTGGGTCCCAGCCAGGTGGAGGTGGTGCAGGGTCCCAGGAGCCAGATCCCAGTGTGAGGGCAGCACAGGGCCCAATCCAGCCCACAGACTGGCTCTGTGCCATTCATTTGGCCCATGGGGACAAAACCTTGAGCACCACTGGCTTACAGCATTCACTACAACAGAAGAGGTCATGGTGATAAAAAGATTAAAGCTTCTCGCTAGGTCCAGAGACGTGATTTTAAGCCTTTCAGGCTGAAATCTGCCCCAGTCATGCCATCTCTAAATGAGTACCTGGTCATTTGACCTGGAGAGTCAAAAGGATGTAGGAGTAGGCACTATCTACCTCTCTCCCTCATGTGCTATTGCCTTAAACAGTGTTCCTTAACCACACTAGCTCAATAGTACACCTAGATTTGGTGTTTCCCCTTTAAAAAAAAAAGAACCATGTGATAAATTGTATTTTTCATACAGGTTTGATCTCACTGGTTTCTCTCCCCAGCAATCCATCCATGACACTTACTTATAAACTCTACAAACAGAGGAACAATTTCAAGCAGATACCGTTTGTTTGTATAAACAGCCTGTCACATAAGTTCTTTTCTTTCCCCAAAACATAAAATTTCCATCTAGCAAATTACACTGGCACAGTGTATCCGCCAATCGGCATTTACTTCTGAGCTAACACCATGTCAAACCGCTCATGAAGCATAAAGGCTAAGAGAAAGAGGAAACATTTGAACATTGGCTGATCCAATGCTCTCTCTCATGGATGGTGAAACTTATTTAAAAGAAAAAGTTCCAGAGGAGAAACAATGTTCTATTTTTCAGTGCTTCAAGTGCATGCATTGATTGCTCACACAGCAATAGTAATGCTCACTGCCAAGTAAAATTTCAAATTTTTTAGAATGCAAGCATCAAAAGGAACACATTTATAACAGCACAGAGTCCCCATCACATGATTTATTGCCTCCTGAGGTCTAGAAAGCATGCTCTGGACATTTAATCCTTTTGGGACAGATAAAGGATAGATATCTATGACCATTATTACATCATTCTTTCTTTAGTTTCCAAGGTGGAAAATGAAGATACAGACAACCAGGATTACTCAGTTTATTATTTTCTACAATAGGTATGAAATGATGCTGAATTGCATCAGATGAGGGTCTGGCCTATTATTTTTCTCACCTTCTCTGATCTTTTACGTGAAAGTTTATACCATTAAGGCAAGCATTCTGATAGAGAACATATATTTTTTTCCGATTAAGACCACCCTTTGTCTGGAGGTAAGAAAGGGAGCAGGTAATATATGGAAAGTACAGGAATGGAAAGACTGAAAAAAAAATCTGCCTGCTTTCATAAACAGAAGATCCAAACGACTTCTTCCTCTTTCCCACTTACCTTGCGTCTGCCAGTACTGCACGGACCACAGCCCAGGCCATGACAAAGACAGCTGGAAATCCTACACATTGGGAAAAATCAATTCAGATCTGTTAGAATAGATTCACTTTGGAACAGAACAGGATGTGCAGTTTCTTACCCTAAGGGAAAGTTAAATATTTGTAAATGAGTGAGTTGGAGAAAAATAAAGTTCTTATTATCAGGAAACTCAGAGCTGTACAAGAGCTTTGAGTGAGCATGAAAAAAAAATCAGTATTTTAAAATCAGAAAGGTTTGGTCAGAATTCAACTAATTGCAGTTAAAGCTGAAAGTCTGGAAATGTTGACTGCACATACCAATTCCTATATCCTGCTGATGTAAATCAGTAATGCCAATGAAGTTCTGGCCTTCTGACTCCATATTTATCATACAGCATGAACCAAAAGCTTCTGAGGTTTCACCAATGTAAGAACCCAGCTCATCTTGAAAGTGATTTAAAGTTTTACAGTGATTTGCAGGTGTGTGTGAAATGAACTGGTAGCTTGAACCTAGTTCCACATGAACAAACATCTTTCTAAAGAAAAGCTAGCCATACATCTGGCAACTTCTGGCTGTCTTACCAGAGAACCATGGAGGAGCAGGCATGAAGGGTATATAGATAAATGACATATCTACCCTGTTTTCTGCCTGACTTCAGACTAACATGGCTAACTACTATCTCTGCTCAGGGATTTCTGGTGACAGGCAGGGGGCTTTAGGGCAGCTGAAGCAGCTAAATATGACAAGGGACAGGACAAGGTGAACAAACGGAGTGTCTGCTGGTGGGTGTGAATCTGAAGAGAGCACCATGCCATGCAGCTTTGGGGATTGGAGGGGGAATGGCTAAGTAACTTTGGAGTGTTCAAGGCTGGGCAGGCTGGAATGAGGGCAAAGGGATTGCTTCGCCCTTTGGAGAGGGTATAAAACTCAGGCTGAGTGGTCTTTTCCCCAATAAATGCCTTTGTTAAAGAGGAGCTAGTTGTTTCAGTGCTTGAAACTTCAGGGTACATTTCTCCCTATTAAGAGGTAAAAGCCTTTCTCCTGGGAGCTGCACTAGAAGGAAGTTCCCTGAGGCAGGATGACAGAAAGCCAAGGATGGTCAGGGACCAAAAAGCCAAAAGTGTCCTTTAGAGTTGTAAGGAGTTGGGGCTCCCCTCCTACTCTAGAAGCCATGCCTGGGCTGGCTTCAGGGAACACTTGGCAAGACCAGACAAAGCCAGGGTGGTCTAGAGCAACACCCTGCTGGAGGGATCTGGGAAATAAATCCTTCTCCTCCTCCTTAGTAATATCCTTTTTTTTCTTTTTTTTAAACAAACATTTCTGGAAAACGCTTCTGGCCTCACCTTTGCACAAGTGCACATCTGTGTTGCATCAGTGGCAAGTCTTAGAGCACTGTTGAGCCACATATCTAGCTGACCTCCTCCTACTTTCCAAAGCCCATGAATATCTGATTCAGCATGGATATGAGGAAATGGATATGTATCAAAGAACATGCCCAGGGCAGAGAACCTGAGAGTGTCTCTTGGTATGTGGAGGACCAAACTGCCTCACTTTTGGAGTTTGGCATACACTGAATTGGAGCAATGGGTGGGGCATGTCTTTGATGGTACTCTCAGGATTGCCATGAAAATAGAATAGATATTCTCTAGGGAACCTGATCTAAAACTCACTGGAGCCAGTGGAGGCCCTCCCTGTGACCATCAGGTTTTGTGTCTGCTCCTAAGTGGTTAAAAAAACAACAAGTACCACATGTGGACAGCAATTTGAGAAAACATGGTTTAGCATATGTTACCTTAGCATTTTTCTTTGAGTAGAAGGCAGGGTAGAGTTTCACTTTATAGACTAACCAAAGTGTGAGGGGAGGGAAGGGGGTAATGGTGGTGGGGTGGCTCCTATAAAATACCACAATGTTGCAACCTCCAGAGTAAGGCAAGTACAGGGTATCTTGAAAGCCTAGCACCCACTGCCTTGTTGGTAATCCTTGGTTGGAGAAAGGCTAAAGGAATTCACCCTCACAGAAACATGCCCTCACTGAGGAATTACGCAGTCAGCAGTTAGGCGGCAGCAGCAGATCAAATCTGTTGCTCTCTAGCAGAAGCTACAACCACTGAGGCACTGAATATCTGGACTTGATCTGGCCTTTTGTATTCTGTATCAATGGTCTAAAGGGAGGATGGTAGGTCTTGGCCAGCCTCTACTCCTCCATACTCTTGCCTATGCATATTTGAGGTCTTGGTGTGATGGTCACAGGACTCCATACAAGTGGATTTATCAGGCCCATGACTAGACCTGTTAAATGTATACCATGATCCAGAGGATTAATGGTTGCCTATATTATATATATATCTATAAACTTAGAATCGTAGAAAATTAGTGCTGGAAAGGACCTCAGGAGGTCATCTAATCCAACCCCCTGCTCAAAGCACACAAAAGCTTTTGAGATAGATAAACATTTATATTGATATCTATATATCTCTCTATATCGATATCTATATCTCTATATAGATATCAATATAGATGTTTATCTATCTCACAAGCTTTTGTGTGCTTTGAGCAGGGGGTTGGATTAGATGACCTCCTGAGGTCCTTTCCAGCACTAATTTTCTACGATTCTAAGTCTGGTAGTTTTTAAACATATTTAAAGTATACTTCTATTTTTAGATTATATTTGATCAAACAGTTCTGATTTAGAAGATGAAACATGCAGAGTAGCTCTGATTTTTGAGAACTATTCATGGGAGCTACAAGTCTGCAAGACCTAATGGACATGATGGAATTTTAATGATAATTGCAGTGGTTTAAGATAGCTTGCTACTCCCCCTGCTCCAGTTAATGGAAATGACATTGTGTGTTCAGGTGACCTTGCACACTGACTCAGATGTGTTCTAAGTAGTCAGCTAGGTAAGTTCAAGATAAAGTACTGAATTCACATTAAAAAGGGGGGGAAGGGGGTGCTGGCAAAGCATCATTTATAACAGAGTTGTCCAATTAGTGGATTAAATTGCAGCCCACAGGGCTTGTTAGTGCGGTTGCTAGAGCCATTGCACTGGTTCAGCTGTGGAACCCGGCAGATGAATGCCAGCATTGCTTCCCTTCCCACCCCCTTGCCCACCACTGATTTGTGAGTCTTTAGTCACTGCTGCTGGCAACTCAAATTGTTGCCAGGGGGAAGGGGTGGGGGGTTAGCAGCAACAGCAAGAACTGAGGGTTGGATCTGATCTGCGGGGCCAAATACGTTAGACAGCCCCATTTTATAAGATTACAGAACCTAAAAATGGAAAAGCATTCCTCAACAAAAGTCTAAATATTCCACATAGTATCTCCTTAGCATCCTGTGTAGTCTCACTTTAATTCTTGCAAGTGCTTGTATGATCCTTTGTATCTGGTGGATTATAGCTGGTTAGGCCAAATCCTACAGTCTATGGAGAGTGGTGGGGAAAGGGCAGATCTATTCAGAAGGGGATAGAAGACTGAATACTAGTCCTTGCAACATGTGTTTCCATTGTTTGAATGTATTCACTGTAAGTCAGGGATGGCCAGCCTGGGGCATGGGTGACATAAGTGACACAGGCAGCATCTATGTTTGGCACACAACAGATTGGGGAGGGGACAGGCAGCACAGGGCAGGAAGCAGAAGTCAAAGCAGCAAGTCAGACAGTAAGCATAGGGAAGGAAGCAGAAAGCAGGGTAGTAGTTCAGGCAGGGAGTACAAGACTGGGGGCAGAAAGCAGAGCAGCAGATGGGGCAGGGGCAGGGGATCATAGTAGCACTTGGGGAGGGCGTGGGTGTAATTTGATGAAAAGGTCAGCCCCCGTTGCTTTAAGTGATAACCTTGAATATCAAGAAGGAGGCTTATGAGGCAAAAAGGGTAGACTGCAGAATGAAAGAATGGGAGAATAAAAAGAAAGGAAGAGAGGAAGAAATTAATATCTGGTTAGAATGAAGGAAAAAAGCAGAATAAGGAAAAAACACAGAATTCGCTTGAATAATACTGAAGTCAATATTTTCAGGTAGTATAAAACAGTAAAGTGCTCTTGAAGAAAATAAAGCTGCAAGGATTGATACCAGCGGAAATCCTACTCTTACGGTTCCCTTTGCCACAAAAACTGTATTAACCAATGCTAGTTAACATTCCCAAACTGCAAGAGGGGCTGAAAGAATTTCCACACCCATGTGTTTTACATACTTATAATGTTTAAAAGTTTCCCCAAAGCCCAGGCTCTGCTCCTGTTTTATCCAGTTTTATCATTAACTGAAAGACATAGGGCAAGTGACTCCCTCACCCATGCCACACATCACCTCCCCACAGTGTAAACAAGAGTACTTCAAATTTTTTTCAAGCTGTATAGGCCTTAAAATGCAACTGAGAATTGTGATATGGATGTGAAGAATAAAGCAGGCAGTATTCAAGCTAACACTATGTTTTAATGAGGCCAATAAATCACATCACTGAAAGAATGCACACACTCTCACCCACTTCATATAATTTGGGTCACAGAGATGTCAGATCATAGAGGATTTGGAAAGAAAAATCGGAAGTAAACGTAACGTCCCTATGAGCATGAACAGTTGGTTAAAGGAAGGGAACTTCTGTAGGCACATTAATTCAAAGCAATTGCTATATTAAGGGTCAGGTCTTCAGCTGCTGTAATTTACTTAAGTAGACTTGTTCCAACATACGCAGCTGAGGCTATGATCCATAGGGGGAAATGGGTTGGTGTATAGTGCTGCTGCATAGAATAGGAACACGAGACACTAGCTAATCCCAAAGAGTGGACCAGCATTAGGACTAGCCGTGCTCTCAAAGAAGTTTCAGAATGTGCTGTACTTGTATCTTAGGGGGCACTCATACTTGGAGAAAGGGAGTTTTTGATAGATTCAGAGAAGGCCAGGTTCCACTGGAGAAGCCAGTCTCAGTCCAGCCCGTCCTTTTGTGAATATCAGCCTGTTTCTCTAGCAGCTCCTTGCTGTGCCTGGCTTCCCCTCCTGATTGCTACCCCTTGTAGATCATGATAGTTAACAGAAGCAAAAGTGCACCAGCAG